AAAAGATCTGATCCCAACCTCCCGACATGCCCAGAACCCTGAAAGAACAAAACATTCATGGAGATTTCCCAGGAGTACCCAACAGGGCCCACATTTTTTAATCTCATCCTACTCTGCCTTTCCCCACCCTGCTGGGCAGAGTCGCTACGTTACCACTTCACTGGGCATCCTCAATGAAAACCAAACTACAAGACACTCCAAGGCATGTTTGTGACCACTCCTTTCTGAGTTAGGTAATCTGTTGCTGAGGTATTATTCCTCAACAAAGACTGCTCATCTTATTAAGACAATTAAATTTTGCATTCTGCCTTTATTTTATATTCACACCAATACCTCCCTGAGGACATTACAAGGCAAACGCAAATCTGAGCAAAAAACATCAAGAACCCCTATTTATTTGCGGTCACCTTTTCAGATATTGGTATTCTGATACAGCCCACAGAGGCATACAGGGTGGTTGAGGGGGCTGAGCTGCTTCTTGCTTTGTCCCCGTTGTTTCATTCAGTCACAGCCACTGTCAAACAGTCTGAAGAAAACAGTTGCCTGGTTACTCCAAGGAACTCTGCCAAAGCTCCCAAATGGGGCAGATCTAATTACCTGCTAGTTTTAGGATCTTTTAAATAAATTCTTTCTTTATTAGGCCCTCCATGGGGACCCTCACAAAAAACTCAATATTACAATTCAGCAGGCGTCCCAAGGAAAGGGAAAAAAATTCAAATAAATATAGTCTCTCTGCTCTGCTCAGACTTAACGCTTTGTTCAAGGTGAGCCCCAGCGGCATGCTGGGATATCTGTGTACAGCCCTAGGGTAGTTGCTTGCAAATTTTTCCTTTCTGTAATTAAACACAGGGAGACAAAAGTGCTCAAACCAACACAATTGTATCTGAAAGGTGGAGAGACCGGAAATGTAAGCCATTCAAACACCACTGAAAACAACATTGTAAAAATTGTTTGGATTGCACAAACTATTGTATGGATACCAGATCTCACACAAGAGGACCACACACACACAGCCCCTTAAAGATCTGTTTCCACCTCAAGATAAAAAGAGACAAGTATTTTAAGTCCAGCAACAAGCTGCCGAAGTCAACCCCATAAACTTCTTCAAGCAAAACGATAAAAAATGGACATCATTTTATCAGGAGATGGTAAATCCCCCTCTCCTATCCCAGCGTACAATGGGCGCCGTGCACTCACACCAGGGCCAGATTTGCCCAGAAACCAATTAAAGCACCAGTGTCTTTGGACTGTGGGAGGAAACCCACACGAACACGGGGAGAACATACAAACTCCACAGATACAGCACCCCAGATTGGGAATGGAACCCAGGATCACAGGGCTGTGAAGCCCAGAAGAGGTCAATTTAAAACACAAGGACTGCCGAGCCAGGTTTCTCACTTCTTGCTGGGCTTTTCCAACAAAATCATAAGATCTGCACAAAACCAGGTACAAGACCTCGATGGGCTCATCTTGTTCATAACAACCCTGCCACCCACCCCGCACTTCGCTCTGAATTCACACAGTACTGCCCTCTTTCAGAAGAGAACAGGGCTCTAGCTCGAGTCCCGGCTCACAGCTCCACTACAGCGGTTTGGAACACCAGTAGGACGAGCTCGGCCTCCGAGAGGCCCCGGCTTCCTCGTTCTGAACCTTATCTACAGAAAACTTCCTTCACACGCTCCACCTCTCCCCGCGGCACAGCCAATGATAAGCACAAAGTGGAAAGATGAAAAGGCAGAGCTGGGCAGCCCAAACACTCCACCTGCAGTCTCCTCTCCCTCCGCCAGATCTCAGAGCAAAAGTGAAAGGCAAGCTCCCTTTAGAGCCAGGGCACCCAGCACTCAGTCCGCCAGGGCCACAGCCCTTCTTTTGGGCACTGCTCCGAAACCCACACTTTCCCAGTTTCTGTGTTAGTGGACAGATAAGAGGAAACTCCCAAAGCTGCAGGATCCTGCTGCTTTCAAGGTCTTGCAGTCTTCAGGGCAGAGTTTCAGATTGCTCCATTCAAAGCGGCACCTGTTACATGTGTCCACCAGGAGGTGCTAGAGGTTTGCTCATTCGGGTCCGCTTTGAATTACGCTTTGATTCCGCTTCCACCCCGGAATCTGAGGATCAGGTGTGAACCCGAGACACAAACGAGAGGAGGCCATTCAGCCCACCTGACCCATCTGGTAGTTACTATTGCTAATTGATCCCAGGATCTCCCAAAGCTGTTTCTTGAATGAAGCAGGGTATTTGCTTCAACATCATGGCTGGGAAGCTTGTTCCACACTCCCAGAACCCTTTGTGTAAAGACGTGTGAAGACCCGGGAAGGCTCAACACTCAAAACCTTTCTACTTTTCAGCTTGGAATCAACCTTTACTTGCTACTCTACAGCCAACAAACCAGCACATCCCCACTCAAAGCCTTTCAATAACTGACATCTCGTGAACCCACAACAGATGAGTTTGATCCATGTTGATTCTTTAAGCATGAGGCTCTCATTTAAACCCACTTTTGGTGCTGGGTAACTGAATCGTATTATCCTGCTTTCAGAAAGCCCTTACAGACAGCTGTATCAGATGTATCTCCCATCATGGCTGTGCCCACGAAGAAACCTGTCCATCACAAAGCCTGAACTCAAACATACTGGAAGCCCTCAAGAATCCGATTCCCTAGACAAACAGGTTTCCCGTTTTAAGCCCAGATTTTGCCCAGATAATCGTTTCAGATCCTTACTGAACACAGTAGGACACCTTCAGGGTTTCTGCCTGTCGTGAAAATGTTTGTAAAAAAAGAAACATGTGACAGAACAATAAAAATGTAAAACCCACTCAAAGACTGACATCGGGAGCAAGCTCTCCCGATGACTCCAGACTCCACTGCACACAGAACTCAAATTCACCTCCTTCTCAGCAGTGGGTACACTGCCCAGGCAGAAAAAAATGAACCCCGTGGAAAGACATGGGACACAGTGTTAATATACTGACACCCCCAGTCCTACTACTAACCTACTGCATAAGACCGCACCACACAACAGGCCGCTGCCACCAAATTAGCAGTTTGGCTCACACAGATTTAAGGAATGCTGTGGAAAATGCAGAATGTCATGTTATAAAGCTCTGTAACTGCATGGTAGCCTGAGCTCATCGGATCTCAGATGCTTAGCAAGCTGAGCCTGGTGAGGGCATGGGAGACCTCCAGGAAAAATCAGATTGCTGCAGCAAGAGGTGTCATCCTTCAAATGAGACAGGAAGATGATGCCCTGATTACCTGAGCATTAAAGATTGGAGGGCACTCTTAACCCTGGTGTTCAGGCTCAGTTCCACCCTTGGCTTACAATCTGACCTCCCTAAAGATCCCCTAAAGCTCCCCTTGCATTCAGCTGATACACAATCACTGCTGCTCATCAGCCAGGTGGGGCCTCACTTCACTAGTGGATTAAGTGGCACACTCCAATTTGTAAAGCTCCCTGGGATAGTTTGGAATGAAAGGCTCCACACCCATGCAAGCATTACCCCTGCAAACCCACCCAGGACTTCCATCAGAAGTCTACCTTGGTCCCCACGTCACAAAAAGGGGCATCACCGCCCTGAAACCAGTTCCAGTAAAGAAACCTTGCCTTTAAAAGAACGTTGTCCACAGGTAGGAGAAAGGAATTGCAGTGCTTTAGTCTTAACAGAAGACCAAGAGGGGAATGAACACCATCCTTCAAAATCCTGAAACAGGACAGAGTGAACCCAGAGAGGAGCAACACAGAAATAAGGACTGCGGTGAGAACTGAAATCAAGCAGCACTTCTCACACACATGCACTGGGTTATTCTGACAAAATATGTCAACAGCCCTGGTCCTTGTCAAACACTAGACCTAAAGATCTACTGATAAACTCAAAGCCTCAATGGTGATTTTTTACCACTTCACTCAGATGGTTCCCAACTGCTGTTTTTAGCACTGAAATCAACAGCAGGTCAACTGAGCCACATAAAACTACAACTGCTCAGTCTCTGTACTCTGCACTCTTTTCAATAGCCATAGAGGTGAGCAGGGGCGACGGTTTATGGCAGAATTAGACACTTGGATCACCTCACTTTGAGAGCACAGCGCTACAGTACAACCCTGACCTGAGAACCTCTTCACACGATCGCTGCAGCGACCGATCTGTCACAAGTCTTCGCTAGGTTTCAGGAGACTGTGCACTTTCTTCTGGGCCACACGGCGGTACACTTCACGTAAACCTGAGAGGCAGACTTGGAAGGATTATTTCCAAGAAAACAAGTGAGATCACCACCCAAGTGAGCAAGGTGTCTGACAGTTCAAGACCGAGGAAAGAGCACTCCTTCCCTGCTCATGTATGAGACAAATAGAAACGTAGAAGGTTGGCTGTATTCAACAGGCTTCAGGGATACAGGCCAGTACTGGAAACGCACTGCTAACATTCATGGGCCCTCGGAAAGACCGCGGGGTCATCTCCATTTCAGACCCCGAAATGAAATATGGCAGGCGTTCTGGCAGTCAAGGGGATATTTAGATTTTCGATTTCTGCGACCTGACGGCACACTTAGGGTGGGATGTCGAAACGGGCCCTCGACAGTTTAACCCTTGCTCATTTCACGTTCGCCTGGTAAGGTAAGAAGTAGCGGACGGTCCCTTAAGCAGGAGCTAACTGCTAACTGCAGCTGTTTAGAAATGCCTGTGGCTTGGAATACGCGCAAGCATATCCTCTTAGCATTTTTAGGACAAGCTAGCGTAACACTAACCTACAATGATCCCCAAGACCGTTAATTCAATCATTTACACTACACAAACAAAAACAAACAGGAAAAGGCTCATGCCACAATATTGGAGCTTTAAAAATATTTATTACGGATCACGCACACACAACAGCAGCACGAATTTCGGTAAGGAAGCAAGACCTATTCATTGCAATACAGCTGGTTTATGTATTCGATTGTATACAACACATGACCCACGTTTAAAGAAAATAAGGATGTTTTAGTGATTTTTTTAACAGTTCCTTACCTCTCGCCGAAAGTTTTTTTGTATTAATAATTTTAGCAGCATATTCTTGACCGGTAGATTTTTTAACGCATCTCCGAACAACCGAGAAGGCACCCCTATAGTGGAAGAGAGAGAGAAATCATATCAATTAGAATAGAAAGCAATCAGGCTTGATTATGCGAGACAGCACTGTTCAACGTTCTTGGCTATACACAAATATAATGATGATGACGATGATGATGAAGCAACGCGCGCGCCGAGGACGCTTCCAATTCTATCCGAAAAGCCTACGGCGCGTGGCTCTGTAATGAACATCTTCATGGCTTCACTGAGTGAATGTACAGCAATGAGAAAGCAAAGATCCTCGGCTGATCGCATTTTATTTTTTAAAACGTATGCAGTCGGCGTTAAAGTTCACAGTAGAGGTGGGGTGTTTAATACGATAACTCCACTATTGGTTTACCGGCATGATTGTGCGATCACTGTATAGAGAACTGTAGAGGATCTGGTAGAGTCAAGGGCCAGAGCAGAGAGGCAGAATGAAATAACAAGAGCCGAGTAACTGGTGCACTAGCGACGGAAAGACAACAAGACGAGCCCCACAGGAAGCTCCTTGCACGTACGTGCCACAATCTCACACAAGAAGCTGTGGTGTATTATTTCTGAACAAGTATATCGAATGATAACAGTCACCACTGACCTCGTCTTGTAATCCTGATCTCTGTCATAAACTGTTTAATCGTTTAAGACAAACGAAGAAGCAGTGTGGAAATTCTGACTGTCTAACACAATGCACATATTAGAAAAAAAAACTGCCGTTGTGCGTACTGCACCTGGAGACAGCCAGCAGGCTCGTTACACAAGTCAGCAGCATGCAATTCTTACATGCGTGGCGCTTCTCCAGTCGACACAAAAGGACTAATCTTAAACCGCAAGTATCGGCCAAAGAGAGAGAAGTAGCCAGTTAATGTTAAAATGGGGTCCGTGAGCTAACGCTTCCTTTAATGTGCGCTCATACACACCGCATACACAATTACAACCCCAGCTAGAAAACACCTAGACGTGTACCGGTAAAACGAGCATGCCCCTAATTAGAAATCGCCTCAGAACAAAAAAAACCATCAACTGTAATTTGTCCATCTTGGCTAAGTTACTCCGAGATGCATTCAGTCCTGCGCTCGCTTACTGTCAGCCTTATACATTTTTGACATGCGAAAGAAAACCTTTCTATCCTTTCAACATCCCACTAGGCAGCGCGCTGCACATAGAGCAAAAAGTACACATATCGAGACAACGGCGTTGGTTTCCTTGCTTACTTTCCGAGCTCTTCGTAGAGCTGATATTCGTCTGTAAACCTGGTCGAGGTTACGATTGTAGCCATGTTGTGCGGGGGTATAGCCTCTCGTTTCGGTGACTGGTGCGCTCAGGTTTCGGGAGGAGATAGCCTCCGAGTCTCACACACTCGGAGAAGGAGCGATAGAGACGGTAGGGGAGGAGGCGGGGGGGCTTGATGGAGGTGGAGAGAAAAACAGCCAGCAACGCGAGATTTTCTCCCTTGTGCCGAGAAAGGAGAGAGGACCGGCTCGGGGAAGTCGAGACGCGCTGTGTGGTTAGGTGCTGCATTGGCACAGCGGCGGCCGAGTGAGAGGCGAGCTGCCCGAGAGAGGAGGGGGCTGGGCTGGGGTGGCGCAGTGCCTGTCTGCCACAGAGCACAAGCGTTTCGGTTTTTTTAAGTTAGAAAGACTTTTTTCTTAGAAGGAGAAGCTGACTGTTGTCTTGTATTATATCCTTTTTTAAAAGTTGTTAAATACAGAATCATTTTACAGCCTCTATTATAAAGCCAGACAAAATCCGTGCTGTTTTATTCCTCCTGTGTATGGTGATTTAGGCCTAAATATAACGAGACACTGAATTCATGTTTTCTAGGAAATGAATATATCACAACCTGACCATAACTACGGTACTGAAACATTGATTTTGTTTGGCACCACGATAACGGCTTTTACCTCCAGTAATTTGGAGAAGACTGACTTCTCAGCGTCTCTCTTTACTCTGCCCTCTTGTCACTTCTGTCAGGTTTTATAGTCTCCGGATATTGGTCATTCTGATCGGTGAATGTTAACTGTTAGGAACAAAAAACACCTGTCGCGATAGGGTAGGAATCATAGTTGGATTGTGATGCTTTGCGACAGAAATTTCCAGTCTTCTCCTACCCCTGGTCTCGCACACAATTTTCTGAAACCCTGCCTGCTCAGGAAAAGGATGGGGCAAGGTGTTCATCTAGGAATCTTTATCAGAAACACACCTGAAGTGCCCATAGCCGCCCTGTAGCTTGTATTACTTGTGCTTTTCTCAAAGATGATGAGAAATTCCTTTACTTCAGGAAAAATCGTGTTCTACAGACCCACAGAGCACAGATGTCTACTAGTGCCTCACTCACTGAATAGCCCATCCGTAGAAGTAGCATCTCTGTCCCCGGTGCTCTGAAACAATCCATACTTAATCAGATGCTGACCTGTTCAACAATGCGTAGGGGTCTCGACTCTTGTGTTTTTCATGACCTGTATCCCAGAAACAATTGCTTTAATGTGGAACTGACCCAAAAAGTGCAAATGATCTTCAAGGCTGAGCCCAAAACAAAGATTAATAATATGATTTTACTTATTCTGTAGCTTCCATGCACTCTGAACTTTCTGCATGGATTCTTCAGACCTTGTGATTTTCATTTATTTAAATGGCTGCTTCTGTTACTCTCTATGTTGTATTCTGAACAGATTCTGTATTTAAGATTTAAGAAGAATAGTAATTTCTTACACTTATATAGCACTTTTCTGGGCACTCCACTCAAAGCACTTTACAGGTAATGGAGACTCCTCTCCAGTGTGCAGCCCCACCTGGATGATGCAACAGCAGCCATAGTGCACCAGTACACTCACCACACACCAGCTATCACCAGCGGGGAGGAGAACAGAGTGATGAAGCCAGTTCATAGATGGGAATTATTAGTAGGACATGATTGATAAAGGTCAGTAGGAAATTTGGCCAGGACAACTGAATAACATACCTGCTCTTTACAAGAAACACCCTGGGATTTTTATTTAATCACCACAGAGAGTCAGGACCTTGGTTTTATATCTCATCTGAAGGATGGCCTTTTTTTACATTATAGTTTCCCACATCACTACACTGGGGCATTAAGACCACACAGACCTCAGGGTGAGCGCGCCCTACTGGCCCCACTGACACCTCATCCGGTCACAACCTTATTTTCCCCAGAAGGTCTCCCATGCAGGTACTGACCAGCCTCACACCTGCTGAGCTTCAGTGGGCTGCCAGTTGTGAGTTGCAAGGTGAGATGGCTGTTAGCAATATATATTTAAAGATTTATATTTAAAATATATTAAAATAGATTTATATATACAAATGTAAACAGGTTTATATTGCACAGTCCTGATTGTACTGTGGCTATATACTGTAGAACCCAGTAAAATCTTTTGGAAAGAGGAATGTAATCAGCTCAAGTTAACTTACCAAACTGTTTAAGAAAGTTTAGTATAGTTTAAGAAAATATTCTTTGTTTTTCAACCCTGTCTTAGAAAACTGCTCTAGCAATTCAATGCTTTGAAGTTCAGTATTTCTGAGTGATAAAAAAAGATTAAACATCTTTGTGTCTTATCACGGACAGAAGGAAACTTGAGCAGATTCTTTTTATCAAAGCCACACAGGTTTAGCAGTATTTCAATGCCTCACACTGTTACACACAAATTTAAGGTAGAAAGCAATAAACAACCTATCTCCTGCTGTTGGTTTATATACAGGAGCCAGCAGCTCTGAAGCCCTGAAATAGATCACATGTCTGTGCCATGGAAACCACAAGTTTTCGATTAAGGGATCTCTTTCCCTTGCACCCCACCCAGGGTGTATCCTGTCTTGCACCCGTTGCTTGTTAGAATAGGCTTCAGCTACCCTTCAGCTACTACTGGCTTGGGTGTTTGAATGGAACTCCGCATCAGGCAGCACAGTCCAGGAGCAACAGGACTGTTGCTCAGGGGCTGTCCTCAGATGCCTGGCACCAGACCTAGTCCCTGTGGGAGCCTCTGTTCGTGATGTAGCATATAGCCTGAAATATATTTAATATATTACGGCATGATGGCACAACGGTTAGCAGTGCTGGGGCCCTGGGTTAAAGTGCACACCTGGGCTGCTATCTTTGTGGAGGTTGCACATTCTCCCCATGTTCACATGGGTTTCCTCTTGGTACACGGGTTTCTACCCACAGTATAAAGACATACTGTACTGGTAGGTGAATTGGTTTCTGGCCCTAGATGATAGCGTTTGTGTTTCTGTCTGTGTCTTCTCTGCAGTGGAGTGGTGTACCCTGCTTTGTGCCTCTTGCTTGCCAGGATAGGCGTTGGCTCCTCTGCGACCCTGAATTGGGAGAAATGGTCCGAAAGTGGATGGATGTATTAAATGTGAAAATGAAGGTTTGTTGTTACTAAAAGTCATTTTTTTACTGTGGTGTGCGATTGTTTTTGTGACACAGACAGATCAGATTTGTGATTTATAAACTGTCAAAGTGAAATGAATATGTAATCTAACACCTTTAGTGTTAACAGTTAGGACAGCCCCCATGTTGTTACATATGAATTTAATGTAGGAAATGTTTATGCTTGTAGTTTGAAACAAGCAACAACCGTGTTTGATACTGTGTGTACTCAGCTGTGTGGAGTAATTTAAATAAGTGTGCTGCCGCCTTATTCTTTTCCTTGTCTTCAGACATTAAAATCCCCCACTCAGCCCTTTCTCCCCTCCAGAGATGCCAAGCTAATAGGTTCTGGAACGGGCCTGCATGCTGTGCAAATTGGTTACAGTTTGCAAACTGGCAAGCCTGAGCTGCTGACTCCTATATAGACTCATTTTGACATATGAAGCCTGAGTTTATTTTCTCAGTTTTCTTATAAAGGCCTGCTGTTAAAATGAGGACCTCACACACAAATACAACAGAATGGTCCAATTTGTACTGCAACACATCATTGCCCATGGTATACATCTAAGCCTTCTGCATGCACATCTGTATCAGGCCCTACATGATGAGGTTTAGGACAGCAGTGTTAGTGCCTGCTCTATTTTGTGCTTGGTGTTGTGTCACACATCACACATTACTGACAAAGCTCTGTGCTTACCTGCTTTCACTGAAATTAATTCCTGATGCCCTTTGCATTTATGCCTTTGTTTTTCATCCCCATTTTCCCTCCTACAATATTTTGCTGTGAAAAGTCTGTCTCTCTGTGATGATGGAATCATCAGCTTGAATCTTTCCATTAAATAAATAAACATTCTGGTGCAGTGATGGGAGACATTTTCTGTTCATTTGCCTTAGATGATTGACATGCAATGAGCATCTTGTAAATATTTAATCAGGATGTGGGCTTAATAACCCATATCCAGATTTACGAATACACTCCACAACATGCATGGGACTTTGGGCTGCAGCTGCTTTTCTGGGATCTGTTTCATCCGAACACTCTGCACACATCCAGTTAGTTCATCTTCTGCGTTTCAAGCCATGTACTGAGCCAGAAGGAGGCAGGCCTTCTCAGGCTGCATGTTGCATTCTTTGACCCAGTACTTTCACAACACAACAGGACCTCAGAGAATGAGAGCAGCAGCCTTTCCATACCCGATGCACACATATCCACGCTGTCCGTTGCGAAAAGATAAAACATTCCCGTGTTGCAAACCTGACCACTGCAAAGTGTGACAGCCCTTATCCAGAACTCTGAGCCAGCAAAGCGAAGATATTCAAAGTGTGAACATTTGATCTTTTGTCAGGCTGGGAAAATGGGAATTGTAACATGCAAAGCGCATTTTTGTGATAGGACACGATAGGAAAATGACAGGCTGCCAGGAACTCCGGATGCTCCAGCCGTCAGGCTGAAGTTCTTTGTGAAGAGCAGCAGCCTCTCCCCTAGGATTCACTTTCAGCTCGTAACCTGGAAAGTAACCTACGGATGTTAGCACACAGACCCACAGATGTTGGCTAGTTGAGTACTAAATTCTTTTCCTACACACAGCATTCTGAGCACTTCCCACTTAGCACCTCAGGCTCTTCAATATAGAACTGCACCATTCAGCATCTTCTCTAACATCATAGACAATGAGAAAACAACATCATGTAAAAGAAAAAACACCTTTAGTGTTCCCATGATGTTTATACTTGGAAAAGGTTGTCCCCCTAGTGTGACTGAACTCACTCTCAGTATGAACACGGTTTTGAACCTGGATTCCCCAAGTGGAGCTGTATTGGCTGTATGCTGCTGGGGGTGGAGTGGCGTTAGTTGGTCATGGATCTCTCAGCAGCACAGCGCCCCCTGTGGCCTCCTGGGTGCTTGCAGGCTTGGAGTGCTGTCAGTGAGGGATGTGCTCCCGCTCCAATTCTCAGAGACATGAAAAGCACACTTGGTTTGACAAAGTATTACAAATATGTTTTTTTTTATTATGTATCTAAATTACAATATGGAGTCTGGGGGTGTCAGTCAAAGGCAGACCCAGGGTCTGAATCAGGAG